CATGGGTAACCTGACTAACCTCCTGAGAAACCAAACGTCATAATCTAAATGCGTGGATATGGATATCTTTACGAGTAGGTTCTGGCGTAATCCATATCTATGATGTGTGGATATGGATATCTTAACGAGTAGGTTCTGGCGTAATGTCAACCTCTGTCCATATTGATGTCAACCTCTGTATTACGAAGAACATGCAAGATTAAATTTGTGGTAATCAGCGGACTTTGCTTTGATAATGCATTGTTTATTTTTAGTTATTGTGTTGTTTTGCACAGTGTCTGTTAGTCAGTTGTCAGTCTGTCAACTCTGTTGGGTCAATGCCTGGAGATTAGGAAATGCAGTATGTTCGTTGAAAACACCAAGCCTCGTATCATAGTGTTATTCGTTATATACACATTATGAGAAAAAAGAGAGGGAATTATGGTCAGTTCGTCCTAGTCATTATAATGGTTTGTCAGCTTCATACCATATACGTTTGGAACATTTGCATAAGTGACATCGGGAGTGTCTCTCATTTTGATCTGAAACGCATCAAACTATTAACCATAGTAAACTTCAGTTCAATGAATGGCGATTTACCCGAACCAAGTGACACGAAAGCAAATTACAGAAACACAAGCTTCCTCTACGAGTAAGTCGACACTGAGGAGTGAACGTATCTAAGGGAAGATGATAAGCATCACAAAAAAAGTCACTGTTTGTGGCCACATATACATTTGTATGCCCTGTTATTACTATGACACTAATTTTTTACGTAAGGGATCAACAATTTCCCAGACGCTTGTTGAATACTGAATACTTGTCGACACTGAGACGTCAGGCTGTTATTGCCGGCATGGTGGTTAAACTGTCTAAGGATAACAAAGACACTGTCTTATTCTCGTGATTGTTATGCACCTACATTACTTCCTGTTTGAAGAAATGATATACCGTGTACATTTACTGGAACATGTATTTCCTCAGGGTGTATCATAGGAGACAATATCGCCATTCATTATATCGATTATATCGACACAGTGGACTAAATGATCCATAACATACTCCTCCACTGAAACATATATATGTGGGAAGTTACTGGTACAAATCTGTCGGCGCTCGGGTTTCGTGTCAGACTAACATGACATAAATCCCAGTTACAAACGACTTTTCCTTCAATGTGTGTAGTGTGTATATATCCTTTGAAAAACAAACCTGTTTCGGATCGTTAGGGTTATGACAAATATGTTTAGTTGTTCCTGCTGTGATGTTACCAGACACCCAAAGAACTGTTTTCAATTCAACTGGAATAGTGAAGCCGATATTGGGTTCATGGATTATTAATGCATCTGGGGCATCTTTATGTGTTGGCTCTTGTGGTGTACACGCCCAATGTGTTGAATGATAGCAAAATGAGCACGTTATGGTCCTAAAAACGTATTCCTTCACATTTGTTCTTATACTCTTACATACATGAAGCCTGCTGTGTGTTGAATGAAATCCTCGAATGTTCAGTGTAGTAAAATAATGCATCACTTGTGTCTAAACCGGGAAATCGCTGCATCATGTTTCAGTTACATTGCAGTCTGTGTGTAATGATATTGTGGGAAGAAAACCTTAGCATTCAATCGCTGGGTGAAGCAAAGATACCCATGACAAACAAGGTCATAATAGAAACCTGTTACAACATGCTTTACAGGTAGGGAGACATGGCCAAAGGTTCATGAAGAATTATTATAATACTGAAGCAACTTAAAGTATGCTCGGTGTCAAATGTGTTCAATAACACTGACTGACTGACTGAGTTGGTTTTACGCCGCTTTTAGCAATATTCCAGCAACATCACGGCGGGGGACACCAGAAATGGGCTTCACACATTGTGCCCATGTGGGGATTCGAACCCGGGTCTTCGGAGTGACGAGCCAACGCTTTAACCACTAGGCTACCCCACCGCCCGTGTTCAATGACAGCGAAACTAATAGCGAGATCATTTGCGTTTTCACTCTTGGGACTTAATACACATCGCCATGTCGCAACTGTGTAGTGTATACACAACTTTTATGCATAGTCAGAAATGTACTATGTGGAAAGGGTTTTGTAGCTTCTATTTACATGTCTGCAAATTGGGAACATGTCCAGTGCAACTAGTGCGTATGGTACGAGGCGAGTAATTGAATCGGCTTTAGTTTCAAAATACTCTAGCAGACCATTTCAATCTGGTCAAGTCTTGTCGTCTATTTACAAACCACCATCATTTCAATGTAATACTATATCGTCCATCTTTAATAAAAAAGCAAAAAAAACCCCCCAAAATACATACAAAACATTCCCTGTTCACACAGGAGCAGATTGTAAGTGCCTGTAACATACTTGGTCTGAAACAGACACAATGTCCCATATTAAAATTTTGGTTGAGAAACTTCCAGAAGGGTGGATACAAATTTAAGAAAGATGTAAAAGTCATTCAAGTAAGACGAAAATCTGTCCTTTGGTCCTAATACTTATCTTGTTTATAATTACAGGTGACATATTTACTGCACGAATAGCCACAGGTCACCACCTGGTGGCCATTCTTGCTCTAGTTATGTACTTCTATATATATAAAATTTCGTATTCATATTTAATATTATGTAGGATGTAGGATGACATTGTCAAGAAACTATTTCCTGTCATCTCAAAATCGTGCTTAAGAATAAAAAAAAAAAACAACTAAGCATCTTCATGACAGTACTAACAATACTAGGTTCCTTCATCACTTTTCAAGATACAGGGCATCCTGCCGTAAGAGTCCTGCCCACCCCACGTATACAGGCTTCATATATAGAACAGAGGAACCAGTCAACAATTACGACCGCCTTACTCCAGCAGAGAGTGCCATCACACAGCTGAAATATTGCTGAGTACATTGTTAAACAACAAGTGTTTGCCACTAACATGGCAATGTCCCCCGCCGAGCGAAATATTTATAACATATTTACTACTTTATATATTTTTGTCATATAAAAGATGCCTGAAATGACTGGTGTCTGTATAATCACCCAATGTAGGTTGTGGATATAAATGAAGACATTGGGTACAATGATTTATGAGATATTGCGTTAACAAGGATTTGAAAAGTGGTCAAAGTAGTGTGGTGACCTTGAAAATAAGTTTAAGGTCACCAAAATCGAATGGTGCCTGTGTAATCCCCCAAGTTAGGCTGTCACCAAATTTAAAAACATTGGGTACAAAAGTTCATGAGATATCGCACTAACACGAGTTTGAAAAGTGTGACCTTGAAAATAAGGTCAAGGTCACCAAAATCGATTGGTGACTGCGTAATCCCCTAATGTAGGCTGTTACCAGATTTGAAGACATTGGGTATAACAGTTCATGAGATATTGTGTCAACGAGAATTTCAACAGTGGTCAAAGCGTCGTGCTGACCTTGAAAATAAGGTCAAGGTCACCCAAATCGACTGGTGTCTGCATAATCATCCAGTGTAGGCTGTCACTAATTTTGAAGACATTGGGTACAATAGTTCATGAGATATTGCGGTAACAAGGGTTTGAAAAGTGTTCCCTTGAAAATAAGGTCAAGGCCACCACAATGGACTGGTGTCTGCGTAATCCCCCAATGTAGGCTGTCACCAAATTTGAAGATATTGGGTGCAACAAATCATGAGATATCGCACTAACAAGAGTTTGAAAAGTGTGACCTTGAAAATAAGGTCAAGGTCACCAAAATCAACTGGTATCTGCGTAATCCCCTAATGTAGGCTGTCACCAGATTTGAAAACATTCGGGACAATAGTTGATGAGATATCGCGTTAACGAGAATTTGAAAAGTGGTCAAAGTAGTGCGCTGACCTTGAAAATAAGGTCAATGTCACCACAATCGACTGGTGTCTGCGTAATCCCCCAATGTAGGCTGTCACCAAATTTGAAAACATTGGGTGCAACAAATCATGAGATATCGCGTTAACAAGAAACGGGACGTACGTACGGACGCCGCTGAATACATAGTCCCCCGTTCCGCGTTGCGGCGGGGGACAACTGGCATTACACATTTTCACACAACCTTTTGAATAACAGAAACGGACTGCCGATAGTGATCAGTAGCCTTGATATACCAGCTGACTACCTACAGCAGAGAGATAAGGTGACCAACGTAACACTATGAAATATTGCAGGAAAATGAGGTAGTATATGACCATAGACATCTACATGTCCCTGTAGTCATGGCACCTTGCTTCCCGACTGTCTCTCAGGTCTGATATAAGATACCATATTTCAACATATTTATGTTTCAAGTGGGGAATTACTAAACTACAAGGGTAAGTAAGTGTACCTGGCGAGGCGCGTTTGACCATTCTTCTATCTCCCATGCCTGGTGTATTGCAAGACATTGGAACATATATACATGAATGTTTCAAATGTAGACTTACTGAACTAAAAGGGTAAGAGTACAACGTAGGGCGTTTTATGTTTCCCTGACATCTTTCATTTTTGATTTATTACAATACATGTTTTGAGTGTAGAATATCTGAACTAAAAGAGGTATAATACCTACGTGGACGAAACTGAATGCGAGACATTCGATGTTTGAAGATTGTTTCTTGTGCAGATTTGTATCGGTTTGATGAGATTACATATCAATTATATTGACATGATCATGGACTATGTGTATGTCTTAATCATCAGCACAGAAACATCTTAACACATATGACTCGAAATGGATATCTTTATTTGACATGTTAAGACAAACTTCAGCATGTGATACATACATTACTATATGCATCACCCATGCCATGGTATCCCAGTGGCAGACATGCAGACCATTACTCATGCTATCAATCACAGACCGTCGTCATAAAGCTGGAAAACCGCGAACGAAAAACGCCATCTCTCTTAGTGCAGCAGTTTACAACATCTGCGGAAGATATTCGTGAACAATGTACACCACATTTGCTAATGGTTTACCTTTTATATCCAGATACAAGCTGGTTATCTCCCGTTACCTAAATATACATAGCATGGCTCTTCTCAACATCCCATTTCAAAGATTAAATGTAACTCATAACATGTAGTTGATTTCGGACCAGACTGGTCCAGAAATACAGCCTTCTAAAACATAAACCTGTGGAGCGCAGTAGTGCAGTGGTAAGGCGTCTGCCTATCACGTTGAAGACCCGGGTTCGATCCCCGGTGGAAGGCACCTAGGTTCGGGTCTCGAGGTGGGCACATTTGCGTAGTATCCTTGGACAAGATACTTAGATCCACATTGTATCAGTTCACCCAGCTGTAAAATGGGTACCCGTGAGGATGTGCTGCCAATGTGAGTGTTTAGTTCGTTGCGCCTAACAAGCAACATGGCTGTATACTCCGCCGGGAGTTGAAAAAGTATCGGAAAGTACGATAGTGTCCTATGACCGGGGATAATAATGTACGTAACGCCGTGAGCAGGCAATGTGCTTGGAGATGAGCGCCATATATGCGGACTATTACTATATAAACCTAACATTGGACTCAGTTGTCCCTACGCCGAAATTACTAACCCGAGCGATTCACTTGCGACGATAGTGCGGACTGACAAAACTTGTGAGTTTTGTTTTACAGCGCTTTTAGCAATATTCCACCAATATCACGGCTCACACCATAATTGGGCTTCACACATTGTACCCATGTAAGGAATCGAACCCGTGTCTTCGGCGTGACGAGCGAACGTTTTAACCACTTGGCTACCCTACCGCCCCACACAGTCATGTGACACTATTTAACACTCATGGGTGTTATTGGTTACCAGACAGAAGTTACTTCTTGGTTGCAGATGGATATACATGTACATGTAATATGTATGATTCTCAAATGTAATTCAGTCTCGAATAACAAAGTTTCATTGTAATTATTCCTTTCTTGTGAGCTGACACACAAAGATGATTTTGGTTATCCTACAAGGATTAATTCACTTCCTGGTTCCAGATGAATTCGACCTGCATAATGTTCAAAGGAGGAGTACATCTAAATTTAGATTATCATGGACGTCCTGTTGACTTTGGCTGTCCTCACGCTACCGGTAGTCACCTCAGGTAAGACTAACTGAGTAAATTCAGTGTGTTACTGAAACACTGAGACTTGCGTGTCAGTTACCTACATAAGTCGTTATTTAAAAACTGTATGTACTGCTTCAGTTTGTATCACAACTGTACGCATTCAGTTGGTTGTGTGCAGTCGAACGCTGGAATTTTAGTGTCAGTGACGTAAGGTAGCCGTTGTTTGACATCTATATGAACTGCCTATGTGCGGATATCATTTATGAACTAAACTATGTGTATATGTGTACTCTATCTATAAAACATGTGAGTATATGTCCGAGTTGCCCATAAATACCTGTAACAGGTACACACGTTTTATCGAACGAGTTCATTGCAGTACACGTTACGTACACGGTAACACTAATGGATCCTTTGTCTTGTTTCGTCAGCGACCATGGTAAGAACTACAATATACATGCACGTAAATCGCTGTTCGTTCGATGAAAGTTACAACATTGAACCTATGAAGGCTATGGAAAAATGATTTTCCTTCTCTCCTAGGTCTACAGATATGCTCCTCGGAGACAGAGACCAGCTCCACTCAAATCCTGCTGGATGTGTCTACCACACAGATCAACACAAGCGGAGGGATGTGTTCCTGTAGACTGACTGTGTCACAGACAACACAGGTGGATATGTTCCTTATTGGCTGGTTACCACAGTGTGATACATACATGACTGTACCGAAGTGGGGGACAGGTACACAGTGTACACATGGTGTTGTTCAAGCTCCATTTGCACGGACTCACACCGTCGCCACTGATGAGGAGATATGGATCCTAGTGGTGGCTACAAAACCTGGATCCAGAGGACTGTCAGGACAGCTGCAGTTCAAGGTGAAGCAACCGTCAGGTCAGAGATAATGTCAAAAGCGTAAAGGCTGAACCACAATCAAACTGATGTTGTTTGACATCAAAAGTGTCTTAATTATATCTATAATGATACAGATGTGTATAGTCCAATAAATTAGTGGTATGATAACAAACATCAAGTATTGAAACACACAACATTTCATAGTAAACTCAGATTACACGCGCACACACACACACACACACACACACACACACACAATACACACACATGAGGCAGGTTGACATGCACAAAGTGAATTTAGCACTATGACACCTATACATTTATCATACAATATATTGTTGTCCATAAAATGAAAACACATATGAGGCGAAAACCTGTGAAAACCTTCAAAGTTAATCTTAAATGTATATACCTTGTCCAAAATGTGAATCTGCACATCACAAGCAGATACACGATTCGTTATTTGATATGACATCGCGTCGGTCGTCTGTTGTTTTATGCCATGTACTTGCTCACGTTAAACTCTTGCACATGCAATAGTCATCACTCCCAAAGATTGCGTCATCCACGTGGACAGTGAGTGAGGATGCTGTGCACCAATGATTCGTGCTTTGGGATGAACAAAATGACAATATAAGTAACAATGCAGACAAGGTTTATAAGTCTGTTTGGGTGAAAATTACAAATGAACGTTTGCTTATTGTTGTTGCTAGTGTTTCAAATACATAATCATTAAATCCAAGTTTCAGGGATAGAAAGCTTTCAACTACACGTATACTTCAACACATATTCAAAATTTCTGAAAATTGGGAGTTATGAAACTCTGAATTGGTATGTGCATAAGACAAGCTGGACATATATACTAGGCAGCATAAGAAACGTCAGTTTGGAATTTTCCTTCGCAGAAAAGGACAACTGTAATGTTATGTTTAATGTTTTGATTGTATATTTTTGACAACATCTCCAACTGAGCAAAGACATTCCTTCCCCAACTCAGAATGGAACCCTGGAAATGGTCTCAAAAACGCAACCTGATCTCGGAGATGGTAGGGTGTTCTCTATGTTTTTGTATGCAACTCATACTGCATGTGCTGTTCACAAGGACCAGCCCTATAAAATGCACCCCAAACCTGGTTGAAACATTCACATTACAACGTCAGCAGGATGCCGTGACTCACGACACCACAAATGATCGCCCCCCGTACTTGCAGACCAAGACCGCCATGGTGTGCGACAGCATGTACAGAATCCCTTCATGCAGGCATCCGAAACAGCACACCAGACAGTGGGAACACACGGAAGAACGATCAGTCCTGATAACGTACCCGACGTCTTAACAGCGGGAACCTCCATTGCCGTAGACCTTTACCGTGGACCTATCCCTCACCCCTCGTCATCGGCGTGAACGTCTACAGTTTGGTTCTACAACACCAAAACTGGCGATACAAGCAATGGAGGACTGTTCTGTTCTCTGATGACAGTCGATACTGCGTATTAACTGCAGATGGCAGAACAAGAATATGGCGACGACGTGGCCAGCGTTACTCAGACTAATGTGTTTATGGAAAGAGACTCATGGGGAGGTGCAAGCATCATGGTATGGGGTGGAATAGGCCTGGGTGCCGTTGTACCGCAAGCAATCTTAACGCTAAGGTGACCGTAACTCCCATACTTTAACATAGACTTAAGGTAGCCTTAGCGCTAAGGTTGTTTTGTACAACGGCACCTAAAACCAGAGAGTGGGTCCTGTGGTGTTCCAGATCATTGGTCCAGGGACAGGAGGCGGCATCAGGTTATCAGTGATTTGCTTTTTGAGATAGTACGAGGATACGTGCCATTGGTGGGTCAGGATAGGTTCACTCTTTCGGGAACACCTGGTGTCAACGTTATTTACAAGATATTCATAAAACATGTTCATGATAATGTCAGAATCATGAGAATCTACAATACATCATACAAAATTCTTCACATTGGTACTACAATCAACCTGCACAACACGTAACATGCACAGATGTCATGTTTCATGTGACATTATTTGGTTCATGCCCCTGGTAATGTAATGACAGGAGGAAACTAATCCGTACAATTTTGAGATTTGTGTTGATTTTGTATTTTTCGACTATATATTTTGTATAAATCAGGATATACTACTTCTTACATCCGTGGTGTATGTCGTTATGTAATTTAACATTTTGTCCATGAATAACATGTGAGGAAATTGTCTTTCTCTACTGCATAGCCTTGCTTAACATTGAGTGCTTTGAGCCGAACAACAACAGTTCTACAATAACTACTCCCATAACAGCATCAACAACAGCAACACCAATAACAACGACAGTACCAACAGCAACAGTAACAAGCATGGAGACAACATCAACAAGCTCAACAAGTACAGGAAGTACAACAGACAGCACACATCAAGGACAGACTGCTGCTTCGCTACTGCCACGGGAGACACTTCTATTCTATATTGTATGTCTTCATATAATTTAACATTCTAAATAACATAAATACATTTTTCTCCCCACAGCATTAGACCTGCTGAACATTGAGTGTTTTGAGCCAAACACCAACAGTATCACAACAACAACTCCCACAACAACATCAACTACAACAACACCAGTACCAACAACAACAACAGTTCCAACAAGAACAGTTAACAAGCATGATGACAGCATCAACAAGGTCAACAACAAGTACAGAAAACCTTCTGTCATAAGTCCAACAGACAGCACACCTCAAGAACAGACTACTTCTGGTACTGCCACGGAGACACTTCTATTAGTTCATCTGCAGGAGTTACTTACTCTGGTCAGCTGCAACACCAGCAGGAAGCACTCCAGCTTCTTCTCCTACTCAAGGTGCTATTACAGACAATACAAAGGGATACCTTCCCCGGTACGTATGCTTTCCAAAGTTCCACACTGGCGCTTTCTCCCATTTCAGGGATTGGTGGGGCGGTGGGGAATTTGTAGCCTAATGGTTAAAGCGTTGGCTCTCGTCACGCCGAAGACCCAGGTTCGATTCCCCACATGGGCACAATGTGAAGCCCATTTCTGGTGTCCCCCGTCGTGATATTGCTGGAATATTGCTAAAAGCGACGTAAAACCCAACTCACTCTGCTCAGAGATTGGTAAAAGGAATGCTACTTCAAAGTACGTTCGTGAAGGCTTCTGAAAATACCACAATTGGAGTTAGCCTGGGTGTTTTAGTATAGTAACTGGCAGGTTAGGTGTGGTATGTTGTGAACTATTAAAGAAATATGAGGTTGAAATCTTTGTGCATTTAATAAGAAATAGTGCAGATGTGTCAAGACTGTGACTGTGAATGTTATTATTCTAGCAGACCTAAGGCTGTACACTGTGTACACAATATTGTGAGGCCATAAGTTGAGTACTGGACATTCTTCAGGAATGTCTGATATTAACATTACTATATTTCTAAAAAAACACAGATGCACTAACATTGCTTGGCAAGAGTTTATCTTAACTATCTATCACTCACTGTCAAAAAATAGTAAAAAGTGATTATGTATAACCCTACAAACTCAATAGTGTATATCACGCAACAAATTGAATGAATGGTGTTACCAGTGTCGTAGTTCCAACATAATAATTTCAGTTACGATGTGCAGCCAGTGTGTAATCCAAAATATGATTGGAACATCTTAAGTGAAGCTAGGTCATTAGAAGTTAGGTGGTCAGTAATCTATAAAGTTGGATACCACTTCAGAGCTGTCTGTGGATCATGGTAGATCCTGATACATGAGACAGAATTCCACTCCAAAATGTCCATATAGTGAGATGTAATTTTGGTGATTGTGATTCCATTGTGGGTTTTATTGTAGGTGGTATCTTTGCTGCTGGAGTTGCTACAGGCGCCGTGTTGGTCCTCATTGCTGGCGGACTGTACATCGTCATATCAAGGTGAAGACAATAAAGCCAAATAAATCTAAACGTCATGTTCAAATTTTATGTAATCAGTTGTAGGTTTAAAAGCAATACATAGCAACCAGCATAGATAAAGTTCATATTGGTGAACAACAATGTGTTACTTTTATTAAACATGATTGTGTTCTGTTACAGGCGACAATGGTGGACATCCCGCCGTCAGAAGACCAAACGACATCCCAATCTCTGAAGCCCATCCCACCTACTCTGGCTTCACATCCAGAACAGAGGAGCCCATAAACACCTACGACAAAATAGACCCAAAACCCCTCCAAGGGGACGGATAATCCATATATCAATGTGTCATAGATTAAGTAACTTGTTCTGCGTCATGCTCTATTGGTTAATCTCAAAATGTTGCACCCCTGGATATCACAATGAAATGAAAAATCATAATTACTTGTCCGATGATGATGTATGGATATGGACCTTTGTCCATCATGTCAGGTAGGTTCTTTAAGTAGGTCTCTGTCCATCTTGTGTGTAAATGGACATCTTTACGAGTAGCTTCCAGACGTCCCTCCATGATGCGTGGATATAGACATCTTTACGAGGAAGTTCTGGGCGTAATCCCTATCAATGATGCGTCGATATGGACATCTTTACGAGTAGGTTCTGGCGTAATCCCATCAATGATGCGTCGATATGGACATCATTACGAGTAGGTTCGGAATGTATGTCTGTATCAGTGATGCGAGGATATGGATATCTTTATGTTGGATACGCTGCTTAATAGATTCGGATGTAAAGCTTCCTGTATCAAATGATGTGTGGATATGGATATCTTTACGAGTAGGTTCTGGCGTAATCCCTATCAATGATGTGTGGATATGGACATCTTAACGAGTAGGTTCTGGGAAACGTAATGTCAACCCTCTGTCAATATTGATGTCAACCTTTGTATTTCGAAGAACATGCAAAGATTAAATTTGTGGTAATCAGCGGACTTTGCTTTGATAATGCATTGTTTATTTTAGTTATTGTGTTGTTTTGCACAGTGTCTGTTAGTCAGTTGTTAGTCTGTCAACTCTGTTGGGTCAATGCCTGGAGATTAGGAAATGCAGTATGTTCTGCTTGAAAACACAAAGCCTCGTGTCATAGTGTTATTCGGTATATACACATTATGAGACAAAAGAGAGGGACGTGTGGTCAGTTCGTCTTAGTCATTATAATGGTTTGTCAGCTTCATACCATATACGTTTGGGAACATTTGCATAAGTGACATCGGGCGTGTCTCCTCATTTTGATCTGAAACGCAACAAACTATAAACCATAGTAAACTTCAGTTCAATGAATGGCGATTTACCCGAACCAAGTGACACGAAAACAAATTACAGAAACACAAGCTTCCTCTACGAGTAAGTCGACACTGAGCAGTGAACTTATCTAAGGGATGATGATAAACATCACAAAACTCAAGTCACTGTTTGTGGCCACATATACATTTGCATACCCTGTTATTGCTATGAAACTAATTATCACAGAATACATATTTTATGTAAGAGATCAACAATTTCCCAGACGCTTGTTGAATACTGAATACTTTGTCGACACTGAGACATCAGGCTGTTATTGCCGGCATAGTGGTTAAACTGTCTAAGGGATAACAAAGACACTGTCTTATTCTCGTGATTGTTATGCACCTACATTACTTCCTGTTTGAAGAAATGATGTACCGTGTACATTTACTGGAACATGTATTTCCTCAGGGGGTATCATAGGAGACACTATCGCCATTCATTATATCGAAATTATCGACACAGTGGACTTAATGATCCATAACATACTCCTCCACTGAAACATATATATATGGGAAGTTACTGGTACAAATCTGTCGGCGCTCGGGTTTCGTGTCAGACTAACCTGATTGGTTTAGCATGACATAAACCAGTTACAAAACGACTTTTCCTTCAATGTGTGTAGTGTACATATATCTTTTGCAAAACAAACCTGTTTCTGATCTTTAGTTTAAGACAATATGTTTAGTTGTTCCTGCTGTGATCTTACCAGACACGCAAAGAACTGTTTTCATTTCAACTGGATTAGTGAAGCCGATATCGGGTTCATGGATTATTGAAATGCATCTGGGGCATCTTTATATGAGGCCTCTTGTGGTGTACACGCCCATTTGTTGAATAATAGCAAAATGAGCACGTTATGGTATTAAAGACGTATTCCTTCACATTTGTTCTTATACTCTTACATACATGAAGCCTGCTGTGTGTTGAATGAAATCCTCGAATGTTCAGTGTAGTAAAAGAATGCGTCACCTGTGTCTAAATCGGGAAATCGCTGCATCACGTTTCAGTTACATTGCAGTCTGTGTGTAATGATATTGTGAGAAGAAATCCTTAGCATACAATTGCTAGGTGAAGTAAAGATACCCATGACAAACAAGGTCATAATAGAAACCTGTTACAACACGCTTTACAGGTAGGGAGACATGGCCAAAGGTTCATGAAGAATTATTATAATACTGAAGCAACTTAAAGCATGCTCGGTGTCAAATGTGTTCAATAACACTGACTGACTGACTGACTGAGTTTGGTTTTACGCCGCTTTTAGCAATATTCCATCAACATCACGGCGGGGACACCAGAAATGGGCTTCACACATTGTACCCATGTGGGATTCGAACCTCGGGGAACAGCCTTTCCACATTAGGGGTTTACGAAGACATTAATAAGTCGATTTTGCGACCTTGACCTTATTTTCAAGGTCACACTTTTCAAACCCTTGTTAGTGCGATATCTCATGAACTGTTGTAACCCAATGCTACATTTGGTGACAGCCTACCTTGGGGATTACACAGACACCAGTCTTATATTCAAGGTCACCACACTACTTTGACCACTTTTCAAAATCTTGTTAACACAATATCTCATAAAACATAATCCCCTAATGTAGGCTGTCACCAAATTTGAAGACATTGGGTGCAACAGATCATATCGCGTTAACAAGAAACGGGACGTACGTACGGACGCCGCTGAATAAATAGTCCCCCGTTCCGCGTTGCGGCGGGGGACAACAACAAACTGGCATTACACATTTTCACACAACCTTTTGAATAACAGAAACGGACTGCCGATAGTGATCAGTAGCCTTGCTGCCCCGACCGCGTCATACCAACAGACGTTAAAATATGGTACTTGTTGGTCCCTGCCTGGCGCTTCGGCATTAATGGGTACAACAAGGACTGGTCGGCTCTGGAGTCAGAATAATGTGTCTGAGTGGGGTATTCATGCTTCACTGCGGCATGGTATCTCAGTGGGTCACTAGCACTATAAAACCAGCTTAAGTCTTGGCTAGTACAAGCAGCCGCACATACACATATTGACACGCATGCACGTCGTCATATGAGCGAAATATTCTCAAGCACGACGTTAAACCCAATTTCACCTCACCAGTAGCCTTGCTATACCAGCTGACTACCTACAGCAGACAGATAAGGTGACTAACGTAACACTACATGAAATATTGCAGGAAAATGAGGTAGTATATGACCATAAACATCTACATGTCCCTGTTGTCATGGCACCTTGCTTCCTGACTGTCTCTCAGGCCCGATACATGATAACATATTTCAACATATTTATAATTCAAGTGGGGAAGTACTTAAACTACAAGGGTAAGTAAAGTGTACCTGGCGAGGCGCGTTTGACCATTCTTCTATCTCCCATGCCTGGTGTATTGCAACACATTGGGAACATATATACATGTATGTTTCAAAATGTAGACTTACTGAACTAAAAGGGTAGGCGTACAACGTGGGGCGTTTTATGCTCTGGACTAATTTCATTTTTGATTTATTACAATACATGTTTTGAGTGTAGAATATCTGAACTAAAAAGAGGTATAATACCTACGTGGACGAAACTGAATGCGAGACATTCGATGTTTGAAGATTGTTTCTTGTGCAGATTTGTATCGGTTTGATGAGATTACATATCAATAATATTGACATGATCATGGACTATGTGTATGTCTTAATCATCAGCACAGAAACATCTTAAGAAATATGACTCGAATTGGATATATATATTTGACATATTAAGACAAACTTCAGCAGGTGATACATACATTTATATGCATCACCCACGTCATGGTATCCCAGTTGCAGACATGAAGACCGTTACTCATGCTATCGATCATTGGATTTATTGTCCAGTTCATTTTTTTACAGACCGTCGTCCTAAAGCTGGAAAAACTGCGAACGAAAACGCCTTCTTCTTCTTCTCTCCTCTTGAATTATAAATATGTTGAAATATGTCATCATATATCAGGCCTGAGAGACAGTCGGGAAGCAAGGTGCCATGACTACAGGACATGTAGATGTTTATGGTCAGTATACTACCTCATTCTCCTGCAATATTTCATAGTGTTACGTTGGTCAGCTTATCTGTCTGCTGTAGGTAGTCAGCTTATCTCAACATCCCATTTCAAAGATTAAATGTTACTCATAAAATGTAGTTGATTTCGGACCAGACTGGTCCAGAAATACAGCCTTCTAAAACATAAACCTAAACTGCTTCTCAGTTGTCGCTACGCCGAAATTACTAACCCGAGCGATTCACTTGCGACGATAGTGCGGACTGACAAAACTTGTGAGTTTAGTTTTACAGCGCTTTTAGCAATATTCCAGCAATATCGCGGCGGAGGACACCATAATTGGGCTTCACATATTGTTCCCATGTAAGGAATCGAACCCGTGTCTTCGGCGTGACGAGCAAATGTTTTAACCACTTGGCTACTCCCACCGCCCCACACACTCATGTGACACTATTTTAACATATATGTGTGTTATTGGTTACCAAACAGAAGTTACTTCTTGGTTGATATATATATATATGTAATATGTATGATTCTCAAATGTAATTCAGTCTCGAATAACAAAGTTTCATTGTAATTATTCCTTTCATGTTAGCTGACACACAATGATGCTTTTGGTTATCCTACAAAGAGTCATTCACTTCCTGGTTCCAGATAAATACGACCTGCATGATTTTCCAATGAGGAGTACATCTAAATTTAGATTATCATGGACGTCCTGTTGACTTTGGCTATTGTCCTCACGCTACTGGCAGTCATCTCAGGTAAGACTAACTGAATATATAACAGATGTATACTGTGATTTGCGTGTCAGTTACTTACATAGGTAGTTATTTAAAAACTGTATGTACGGCTTCAGTGTGTATCACAATTGTATGTTTTTGGTTGGTTGTGTGCAGTCGAACGCTGGAATTTTAGTGTCAGTGACGTACGATAGCCGTTGTTTGACATCTATATGAACTGCCTATGCGCGGATATCATTTATGAACTAAACTAAGTGTATATGTGTGTACTCTATCTATAAAACATGTGAGTAAACGTCCGAGTTGCCCATAAATACATATAACAGGTACACACTTTTAATCGGACGAGTTCATTGCAGTACACGTTACGTTCACAGTAACATTCATGGATCCTTCGTTTTGTTTGGTCAGACAACATGGTAAGAACTACAATTTACCTGCACGTTAAATCGCTGTTCGTTTGATGAAAGTTACAGCATAAAACCTATTAAGGCTATGACAAAAAAATTATCTCCAAGGACTACAGACATGCTCCTTGGGGACAGAGACCAGCTTCACTCAAATCCTGATGGATGTGTCTACCACACAGATCAACACAGAGGGAGGGATGTGTTCCTGTAGACTGACTGTGTCACAGACAACACAGGTGGACATGTTCCCTGTTAGCTTGGCAGTACAGTGTGATACATACATGCTTATACCGAAGTGGGGGGACCAGTACACAGTGTACAAATGGTGCTGTTCAGTCTCCACCTGCACAGACTCACACCGTCTCCACTGGTGAGGAGATATGGATCCTGGTGGTGGCTACAAAACCTGGAGTCAAAATACTGTCAGGACAGCTGCAGTTCAAGGATAAGCAACAATCAGGTGAGGGATGTTGCCTAATGTGTGAAATATATATACATAAGTATACAAAACAATGGAACTGATAATGTTGATTGATACAAGAAGAGTATGACTTATGCCCATATTGATAAAGATCCACACATTCTGTGTAATAAGAAACATTGGTACACGGCAGTTGAGCAAATATTGTTCCTGGAATTTACCTGACAGTCTCAAGCCCATAACAGTGTAGAGGAGCTGATAGTGGTAATATCAAAGAGCTCTGGAATCAGAGGTGTGTGAAGAATATAAACATATCAACATTACTTGGCATTGAAACTTAATTTCCGTTAATCTGTAGGATTTACGTGTGTCTTTATATTTAATGATTCATATCTATTAAAAAAATGCATACATTTCATAATTATGATTTTCTCCCAGTTAGTGATTACTCGTGTAATTTTAGGCAATTAAATGTCAAATAATGTTCCTACGGTTCCGGTGATATCAAATGTTTGTTTGGGTAGCCTAGTTGTTAAAGCGTTCGCTCGACACGCCGAAGGCACAGATTCAATTCCCCGACATGGAGACAATGTATTAAGCACACTTCTAGTGTCCTCGCTGTGATGTTTGCGAAAAGGGGCTTAAAACTAAACCCACTCTTCTTACATATATATATGAATACACAGTCAACTCGCTGACTAGCTTGCAACTACCATCTCATCGTAAACTGCAACCAGTAGTTCTGATAATAAGTGTTTTGCTGCAACAGGTCAGCTAAACATAGAGTGTTTTGAGCCAAACACTAACAGCAGCACAACTACTACAACTTCGTTGACATCGAGGAGAAATGTTGTAACAACCACGTCGCCTCTTCCCAAAACTACAAAGAGAATTACATCTACATTCCAGCCTACCACTCACACTGAAACTGTACGTTCAACAGCGGGGACAAAGAGCAACTGAACCTTCTTCAACTCAAGACCTCAGGACGCGATGCCAAACGTGTAATGATGGTTTTCCAGGTACATGTTCTTTAAGATGTTTATTACGGTTCAAAAGTGTCAGCCCAAAATCTTTATGATTTCACGGGTTCTTTAGTTGTACTGAAAAATGACTACATATGAACGCACAATGACAGATATATTTTGTACTTTTACTGAGAAAGTGTAATCCCAAATATAACATATGTTCAGATCCGATATGTTTTCAAACAATATCATACAGCTGTAATACTGCTGAAACAAATCTACTCATGATATGGTCACTATTATACAATCGACTCTGCTTTGGCCAGAGATTTCTTATGAATATGGAAAGGGTTTTGTCACTTCTGTTTACATGGCCATTTTCTGAAAGGGTTCTTTATTCAATTAGTTTCACAGCATGTCCAGTGCCGGCACGATTTTCTATGAGATAGAATCACAATTTACAATGTGTGTGTGGAATCACAAACAAATATTGATAACACCAGGTATTTTGTGACCATATCCCGTCACATGGTTCACAAGAATGCTGATATCTGTACGTGTCGTGATTCATGCCTTCTATAACGTTCACGTCAAACCAGATGAAATAAACTCTTTATTCCATTACTCACAAGGCATCAGGTCTATAGTACAATCCATTATGAATACAATATAAACGATTCATAACATTCTCTTAATATTCCGTCTTTCCAGTATTCAGTTGATAGGTTATTCAAATTAGTTTTATCAACACAATGAAAAAAATATGTTCCTACACTGGTGAAAAACATTATTGATTGTTTCCCGAAACTTCAACGCACTGATTGAATGTGTTACTGGTGTCACCATGAAATGGTACTGTCATATTTCACTTACGTTGCAATCAGTGTGTAATCAGGATATGTGAGGAAAACCTTAAGTGATAAGAAACAGGAAGTAGGTAACAAGAACAAGGGTCATAATCTCTATTATTGTACAACTTCAGATGTGTCTGTGGATCATCCTGAATGTCCATATAGTAAGATGTAATGTAAGATGTAAATTGTGGGTTTTATTGCAGGTGGTGTCTTTGCTGCTGGAGTTGCTACAGGCACCGTGTTGGTCCTCACCGCTGGCGGACTGTACGTCGTCATATCAAGGTGGAGACAATAGAGCTAAATACATCTAAACATCCTGTTCAAATCTTGTGTCATCAACGCAAAGGTAGAAGGCTGAAATCAAATCTTTAACGATATCAGATAACAGTTGACACTGGTGAACAATATGTTGCTTTGATTAAACATGATCAGCTGTGTTTTGTTACAGGCGACAATGGTGGACATCCCGCCATAAGAAGCCCGACGACTTCCCAATCTCTGATGTCCACCCCACCTACTCTGGCTTCACATCCAGAACAGAGGAGCCCATAAACACCTATGACAAAATAGACCCAAAACACTCCAAGGGACGGACAATCCATATATCAATGTGTCATAGAAAAGCAATTTGTTCTGCGTCATGCACCGATTAAGTCCAGATGTTGTATCCCTGGATATCACAATGAACTGAAAATTATAATTACTTTGTAGAACATCCGTGCAAGCAGAGACCATCCATGCATAAGACTCTCAGTCATCTATGATGCGGGATACGGACATCGGGAGAATAGGCTTTATCCATGATATGTAAATATAGACATCTTTTCGAGTGGATATCCAAAGTCTGTATCTGTGATGAGTGGATATAACAACTTGACGAGTAGGCTCTAATTCTCTGGCAACATGTGGATACAGACATCTTTCGATTAGGTCCGTGTCTCCCCAATCATATGTGGACATGCTCTTTAACTGTCCTGACCTGTTAAAATTCATCTTTATGTATATCTTGACCTAAGTCTTGTAGAATTCATGCACATGGGCATGTGTACCTGCCGATGAAAATCGGCTTCACACATTGTATCGATTAGTTAATGATATCTGGTCCTTTTAGCCTGATAGGCAAATGCAAGTTTATGTAATGTATTTAAATAATGCAAACCACAAAACGCCTTACAGTGATACACATGTTGATAACAATAACACTAAAAGGTTATTATTAGGGAAAATGTATGATGTAACCTCTATATTACAAAGAACATTCAAAGACATTTATAGTGGTTGTCAGCTTCCATATTTGAACAAAATTGACATCGGACAATCCTCTCATTTTGATCTGAAACTACTATCCGTAGTGTACTGTACAAGGAGGGAGTTAAATCATGCCAAAAGAAATTACAGGAAAACAAGCTTCCCTAAGGTGTAAGTTGACACTTAGGGCTGAACCTAATGCATGTAGAAGAAAAGCAAAAATAAACACTGCATACAGGTGTCTGTTCTTCTCTCTCCTATGTTGTCATCAGTGCATGCACATATGCCATTACTATATCATTAATATAAATAAATATTTGATATAATGGATCAAATAATTTCCCAGATACTGTTGGAATACACAGTAGAAAGTTTATTTTAAAACAAGGTAATACTGGCATTAGGACTTGGGATGTTTTTGCAGGTAAGGTGGCTAAATTGTCTAAGATAACAAAGATATCCGCCTTATTGTCCACACTCCTGGTTGGTTAAGCATGACATGAACACACAGTCCAAAACGACTTATACTTCAATATGTGTTGTGTACATATATCCTTTGTAAAACAAACCTGTCTAGGATTTTGTTTCTAACAAATATGTATATTGTTCCTGCCATGATCTTTCCAGACATGCAAAAGAACTATTTTCAGTTCAACTGGATTAGTTAAGCAGATATTGGGTTGATGAATTACAGAAATGCAGAAGATGCCATCCAGGACGTCTTTTATGTGAGGCCTTTTTTGGTATTAGTATTGATCATATAACCTTTGAACCAACTGCTTGATATACCAATTGTATTGAATCATAGCTAACTGGGCACTTCACACTAATAAAAACTTATATACATTGTTTTGTCCTCTCTTTTTCTTACATACATGTGTGTGTGTTGAAGTTGTTTGTTTGTGTTTGTGTGTGTGTGTGTGTGTGTGTGTTGAATCAAATCTATATTTTTAGACGTAAAGTTCACAAGCATGTATTCACAACCTTTAACACTGCTGTCACACATCCTCATGATATGTCTATAAATTTAGAACAGGTCCCATGCAACCAAACATTGTTTTTGTAATGAGCTGAGTAAATGAAACCATAAAACCATACTCATAGTGTTTATCACTAGTTTATGTGAACAAGACTTGATCATTGACAAGGCTCCATCATATCCCCTGCGATATAGTCTTGTAAACATAGTCTTCATATATAAACAAACAAAACATACATACAAAATGTGCACAGGTGACAAAATATGTGTCTGCATGTGTCTGTTATAGAGCTTGATTCAATATATTCTCCTGAAGAATGGCAGAGTATGTTGCTACATAATTTTTGGTCTTGTAATTTAGGTAACCAAAAAATCTCTAATTTTAGGTATTCAATAATTCAATACATAACACATTCAGATTACATTAAAAATAGATGTACTAAAGCTGATGGAATAACTTATTCCAAACTGCATAAAGTGATGATCATGATATCAATCACTGGACTGTCAGATCAAGACTTGATGATTTAAGGAGCACCATCACACAGCAGAATTACTGATGAGTGAAATCTTCAACAACAAAACACTAACATTTATCATGTAACAAAATCTTCAGACAAAGATAAAAAATGATCTAAAACATATTTTTAGCTTACTGTTCCCACCTACTAACCAGTATTTTAACCAGCGTGAGAACATACTTACACTGCCTATCCATATCTATGATAGTAGCCTTATTTGTTACATATATTATCTACAGCAGACAGGGTAGATAAGGTAACCAAAGCAACACTGTAATACATTACAGGAATAAGAGGCAACACACAATACACCTTTAACAATATTTGAGTTGATTCACTACAATGAAAACTAAATAGAGAGTCTTTTTTGAAAATGGTGTTCCTATGATCAATGTCTGCTTCAGGGTTGGTTTCTCTACATACCTCTGTAGTCATGTTACTTTGCAGTCCTGGCATAAAATGTGTCAATGCTGAAGGCCATTCTCGGATCGTATTGGTGCTAAAAGGTTATAGTCACATGACTTGTCCCACCGGATACCCATTTTCTGCTGGGTGAACAGAAGCATGTTTGAACAAACTCACTTGCCTAAGGTCAGATCACATGTGTTTTGTTGTGGGCAGGACTGCAGTCCCAGAAACTCTCAAGAGTCAAGCTGCAAACACAGTCACCCATCCAAGGACTCTCCACGCCCAACATTTCATAAACTTCAACTGATTTGTGTTCCGATTTATGCACAGGACTACATGCCAACAAGTCATGGACTATTCAAAGTGTACATGTAGGTGTTCAGCTACAAGGAAAAATTGTGTATGATATTGCTTATATCTGTATACAGGATCACAGCAGAGTACACACCTGTTGAGTAAGTTCAAACATTACATTGATAATCATCTCTGTCTCCAGCATCCCTTCACCTGCTTTCATAGGTGCAACCATCAATGTCTTCAGTCCCATTATGCTTTTAACTGTCACATATACTTTAACAGCTGAATACGATAAGAGCTAGAATAGACACCATAACATTTGTTTGTGTGACTACTCTTAACAAAGCTCAAACTGTAATTAACTAAGAAATCTGTGATTGATATGATGAGCAACATACGAGTTAACCCAGTCACAAAACCTGACCACACAATCAACCATTTGCAGTCATAGGTTGGTGGGTGCCTATTCTTACTGACACAATCCTCATTTGCAAGAAAATATGCATAAAGTTATCTGTAATGGCAGTGATTAGTACATGGAGAAGGACAACATGGTTTGGTGTTAAATTCAATACATAAGACAAGAAATAGAAAAGAAATACCTTCAGATGGTCCTATCAAACATCATTCAAGATTATGGCACAATGTGTTAAGCCCATTTCTGGTGTCCCCTGCCGTGATATTGCTGGAATATTGCTAAAATGTGGAAAACTAAACTCAGTCAGTCAGTCATTCAAGATTATACACTGCAGCTACATATATTAGCATGTGTGGTAGGGATGCTGATTCTATTTCTCTGGACAAATGCCTGTTTTATAGTGGTTGCCTGTCCTTGTTTTAAGGTGGCACACCAGGCAGATAACATCAAGAATCTTTGATATTAATCAGGCACTGAACCACAGACCTGCACTCAGGATGGAGGCTCCCACTAGATCCTGGAGGTGGTCTTCCATATAGCTGGATGCTGATTCATTCACCAAAACAAGAAAACATATTGAAGAAGTTGTAAAATGCCCATGAAGTTGCATGAGCACAAACCCCTGCACAGAATCAGTGAGCTAAATAATATCACCTTTCATTTTGAGGAAAACTGTAAATCAATGGAATAGATTAAAAATATACACAGTGATTGCACAATGGTTATTATCAAAACACTCTCTACCATTGTCCAAACCCTTTAATTGCTTGACAATGATATATAAGGATACCCCACCTTGATCAATCATACGTTATTATTATCAATTATGGTTTTGAATTAAATATATGAGGATACAGAACTGAACATAATTCTGACACAGTGACATGGCACACTGGTCACACTCTATGATTGTTCAGAAATACCATTGATGACCAGCATTGAAAACAGAGATATTTTCTTTTTTTATATTTTGTCATGTTTTAATCCAACATAACTCAGGAGTCTAATATTTATTGAAACACAAAATCAAAACCAATTATCATTACAGTATACATAACAGTGCTAGGTGATTACAATAACAACATTTTGTTATGGACCTATTGAAATGAAAACGGAGTTAATGTACAGTGAAATGTGTCAAATGAGTTCAAAGCCTTGCAAGGTTGCAATAACAACTCACATGCTAAATACCCCAGTATTCACTATACCTTTAAAGCCTAAGCCTCCTATTAGGATTTGCAATTTCTTTATCATCCATTCAAACCTGTTCCCATGATGACATTCCATGAGGAGGTATGAAGCATGCAATTAAATGCTTCATCACACCAAATATATTGAGCAAATGGGTGATCATCAAGTTGACCTGGTGTGTAAATATTTTCTCTGCTGTTTGTGAGAGCCTGTACAAGTGACTGTCAGATAAGTGACTGTTTCCTAGTGTTTAGATGGTCGCGCTGGGTAAAATACAGTAGGGATATCAGTGATACAGACCTGTTCTGCAAGTTTCTAATAATACTTATGTTTCCACCCGCTTGGGATAATCAATACCAATAGACTTCCTGATCTAGCAGAGAGAGACACAACTTGATAGTTACCGTATAATTTGAGAGAAATATCAATACAATATTCTTAAACTTTCAATTATATTTCTATTACATCAAAAACAGCTCTCAAATCATTCAGTAATATGCATCATATTAAATAATTGTGTTGTCTCTATTTGAGGCAGTGTAATCAGTAATATTTTCAGCATGTTAATGTGATAGCAAAGGCCATAAGCTGGTATATGTACAGTCGATAAAATAACATTAGAGTCAACAATAGATTAACTGATATAGAGTTAAGTCATTTGCTTGTCTGAGTGAGTGAGTGAGTGGGTGAGTGAGAGAGAGAAGGGAGGGACAGAGAGGTTGATAGAGATAGAGTGAGTAAGGAGTGAGTGAGCGAGTGAACCAGTCCATCAGTCAGTCAGTCAGTTAGTCAGTCAGACACTCAGTCAGTCAGTCAGTCAGTCTATCAGTCAGTCAGTCAGTCAGTCAGTCAGTCCATCACTCAGTCAGTCTGTGTCACTCAGTCAGTAGTCATTTCACCTGTGTGGCTGCATCCTATAAATAATCAAGTCTGAACCAGGAAACAGAGCAAGATCAGTGATCCACAACTGTAAGGTGATAATGAACACAATCAGCCTTGTCACTGAGCCTGAACACCCGATCCATTAACTCCCACAGACTCTTACCACGGTCACAGGTTACTGGGCACCTTTACTACCCTGTAATTCTCTTCAGGACAATTATATTCACATTACAAACATATACAGTATGGTAATTTAACATTAAATTCCACAGTAAATATGTATCCCATACAAAATACACATACCAGCAGGGGGCAACTGATCATTTACTGTTGACTGATCTCAAGAATACTTGCTGACTTGGACCTTCAAGTTCCATATGTTAACTTCCATACTTCCATATGTTGAAGGAGACCACCTCTGGTATAGTGGATAGAATGTCTATTCAGTGACAACTGTCTACTCAATGACAGTTGGTAGTTTGTACCTGACTGTGTCATACAAGCTGCTTTATAGATGATACTTGTTGCTACCCTTTGTTGCTACCAGTACCCTTCCTGGCCCAGCATAAAGAGAATATAACAAGGACTGTCTGAGAATCTGTATACTGTATGTTTGTGGTTTATTCATGATAAAATTATCTCAGTTATCTAAAACATCTGGCATTTTTCTGACTAACATATGTACACAAACATGAAAAACAAACACTATGAAGAAACCCACTACATGTTGTGATGGTTTAAAATTTAAAGATTAAAGAAGGAATCATGATGCTTGAGTGTTTCTTTGAACTGAAGTGAGAATACAGTTACTTCCCTTCCCATATTGATCTTGGTCATTAACTCAATATTTTATGGGAAAAACAAACGGAATTTTGTTATCAGACTTCTAAGCCAGGTTATACAAAAGAATAAAAAAATTATAAAAAAAAGTTTATACAAAATCATGTCTGACTTAGGGACGGTATAGAATTCAGCCCTTAGACAACCAAAGGTGCATTTATTGCATACAACACGGTATAGTGGTGTATGTTCACAGCCAACACATAAGTCCATGCAGGAGCAATGCCTGTGACAGCGGTGCTCACTTGACTGCTAGATTACACACTCAGTAGTCCATGAATGCCTGTGATGACTGGCCTGTAGTCTCCTGT